GGGAAACTGGACTTCCACATGCAAAAGTATAACGTTTATACCAGACACAAAAACTAATTTAAAATGGATCAAAGATCTAAACTTAAAAACTAAAATTATAAAACTCTTACAAGAAAGGGGGAAAGCTTCATATTGGATTTGGCAGTGACTTCTTGGACACGACACCAAAAGCACAAGCAACAAAAGAAAAAATAAATTAGATCTCAACAAAATTAAAAACTTTTGTTCGACAAAGGATCGTATCAAGAGAGTAAAGACACAACACAGAGAATGGGATCAAATATTTGCAAATCATATAACTGATAAGGGATTAATATCCAGAATATAAAGAACTCTAAAAACAACAGGACTTGAATAGACATTTCTCCAAAGAAATGCAAATGGCCAATAAGCACATGAACAAATGTTCAAAATCATGTCATTAGGGAAATGCAAATCAAAACCACAGTAAGATACCACTTACCGAAAATAAGTGAAAAAACTGAAAACAACAAGTGTTGGCGAGAATATGGAGAAAAAGGCATCCTGGTGCATTGCTATTGGGAATTTAAAATGGTAGTCTCTGTGGTAATCAGTTTGGTGGCTCCTCAAAAAGTGAAACATAGAATTACAACATGATCCAGCAACTCCACTCCTAGGTATACATAACAAAAAAACTGAAAGCAGGGAACCAAACAGAAACTTACTTGTACAGCAATGTTCATAGCAACACTATTCACAGTAGCCAAAGGGTAGAAACAACACTACTTTGCATAAACAAAATGTGCTATATACATACAATGGAATATTTTTAAGCCACAAAAAGGAGTGAAACCTTGATACATCTATATGAACCCTGAAAACACTGTGGTGTAGTAATATATATGTGTAAATATATATTTACACATCTATCATATATATATAGATAGCTAGATTTTGCACACACACACACACACACACACACACACACAAATTTGGTCTTTGTTCCTAGCTCCTGGCACTGAGTTCCTAAAATCCTGGTAATTTTCTGAGTGATAGAATAACTGTTTTATGCTGACTCCTAGTTGGGTGTGATGAGGGAAGGCTAGATAGCTTCGGGATGAGGCTAGTTACCAGAAAAACTATGTGATTAGAGGCTTAGAACTTTCAGTCCCGTCCCCAACCTCTAGGGAGGTGAGAGGCCAACCAGTGGCCAACAAGTCAATGAATGATGCCATGATGAGGCTTGGGGGAGCTTCCGGGCTGGTGAACAGATCATATGCTATCAAGGGGGGCACCCAGGGAGAACATGGAGGCTCTGACAACCCCGCCCCCCCCCCCACTCCCATACCTTGCCATCTCCCATTCGGTGGTTCCTGAATCGTATCCTTTATAATAAAATAATAAGTATGGCATTTTCCTAAGTTCTATGAGTTGTTCTACTAATTAACCCAACCTGAGGAGGGGGAATGGAAGGGGAGGAGGTCATGGAAACCTCCAAATTTGTAGTAGGCCAGGCAGAAGTGGGGGTAGCCTGGAGGCCCTATTTGCTGCTGGCATCTGAAGTGGGGCCAGTCTTACGAGACCGAGCCCTTACCTTGGAGGGTCTATGTTAACTCCAATAGTGTCAGAATTGAATGGAGTTGTAGGAAATCCAGCTGATGCCAGAGATGAAAGAACTGGCATTGGAACTACATCATCTGGTGGCAGAAAAGACCTCAACTGATTTTGCTAAGTGAAATAAGCCAGACACAAAAGGGTGAATATTGTGATTCCACGTATAGAAGCTACCTAGATTAGGCAAATTCAGAGAGACAGAAAGAACAGATGTTACCAAGGGCTGAGCAAAGCAGGGAATGGAGAGTTATTATTTAATGGATACAGAATTTCCGTGTGGGATGATGAAATCGTTCTGGAAATGAACGGTAGTGATGATTCCACAATATTGTAAATGTGTTTAAGGTGAATGAATTGTACACTTAAAATGGGCTAAAATGACAAATTCTGTTACATACATTTTTCCAAAAAAGGTAACAAAAATATATTTTAAAAACAGTAATCATATACAAATACAAAAACATATCTCTTACCCTTGTAAACATCTATTATTTCAAAGGTTCCTAATGCTATAAACTTCAGAGGGTCTCATATTTAAATCACTTAGAAGTATATGTAGAATCCTTTAAACAGAATACGAATCTCAGAGTCCACAGTGATAATATCAAGTCTGTGGGGAGAGCAGAAACTGGAAAATTCTATAAGAGTAGAATGCCAACTAACAAATGTAGAATAATAGTTAGAAGATCACACTTTTGAAAACCTCACAGTAGTACTTCAGGAAAGAGTCAATTCAAGAATGCCAAAATCGGTGGGTGAAAGTTTGATGAGACACATATATTTACATGGTCTCAAAGTATCTCTCCATAAACTCGATACGAAGGAAAATTTTACAGGGAAGAAACCTGGTGGGTGCCATTTTAACCAAGTGATCAAAGTTACTACCATCGCTAATGAACCAAACTGACATTATGTGCCTCGTGATGTGAAACGCTTGAAAAAGCACAGCATCATTTATGTAGTATTTCTGGAATAATGCATAACCTGATTCAAATCATGACAAAAATATCAGAGAAAAACAGAGTAAAGGGTATCTACAAAGCAAACAGTCTGTCTTCTCCAAAAATGTCAGTATCGTCAGAGACCAAGGAGGGCTGGGGAATCATTCCAGACTAAAGGCAACTCAAGAGATAGTAAAACTAAATGCAATACGTGACCCTGCTATGAACCATGCATCCAGAAGAGAAACTGATATAAAGAATATGGAGACAACTGGTGAAATGTGAATCCAGTCTTCAGATCAGATAATACCAGATATCAATGATAAATTTCTAGTCATTGCTCTATGATGCTATAAATGGACAGACTTATAATCGAGAAGAAAAAATTGAAAGAAAGAAAACATCTACCTATATAGATATATAATATATATAATATCTATACAATATATACATGGGATGGGGGAGAGAGATAGGAGGAGGAGTGGGTGAAGAGAATAAAACCAATGTAACGTAACAATTGGCCAATCTGGGTGAAGAGTATGTGGGAGTACTATGTGCTACTATTGCAACTTTTCTGTAAATTTGATATTGTTTCTAAGTTTTTTTAAAATGGATATGAAAAATCTCCCATAGAAGTATGCCGTGTTCCTGCTTCTGGAGAGTTCCTAGCTTTCATCAGGCTTATGAAAAACTCCCTTCAAAGAGTGAACAACACCCCCTTTCCATTATTATTTGTGTTTCTGTACTCACTCCTATCCCCTCATTCTTCTAAATGGCATCTAAATTCAAACAGCAAAGATAAAGATCTTGTCCTGAGCAAGACAGGACAGCTTCCGGGTAGAGAACATGGCTTGAAGTAGTAAAACTTAAATAGTATAAACAATAATAGCTTTTGCTACAGTAGCAATGAATATCGTTCTTTCCTCCATTTTTAAAACCCAATGGTGGCCCCGAAATATTATTCTCATTTGTTTTATAATCATTTATTCATTCATTCTGGAAATACTTATCGATTTTCAAACAAACACTGCTCACTGCCAGAGGGAAAAAAAGCTGCAAATAATCATTAACTGACTCTTTTCATTGGAACTGAAATTAAAATATATTTCTTACACTAGAAAGTAAGGTTTACTCATTGTGGCTGACATAGATGATTGTCAACATAGGATTGTGGGTGAAAAATGTATGAACAGTAAAACAAAAAAATTACTTTAAAATAAGAAAATGTCGCATATGTAATTTCACAAGAAAATGAACTGTAATTCAGCTTTACGTTTATTTTATGTCGCTTACTTTTATATACATCACACATATCATACATATATACTTGTTATACAAAAATCTATACAAAAATCCAGGTAATTTAGTATCTAAAAAAGGGAGCGGGAGATACTGCATTTGATTTCTGGTACTCTTCTGTTTAAATACTTCTAAAATTCAGATTTCAAGGAGACAACAAATTGAAAGCCATTAATTTTTCAGAAAGCTTTGTGTTCACATAAATTCATCATTCAAGTATACTCTTATGGAACAATAATACACCACGTGACTGACTGCAAAATCACACTGAATAAGCCATGGTACCGAGTAAGAGTGGAGCTTTCTTGCTCTGGTTTTACAGAATCAGCCCCTTACATGAAACGCGGAACACAACCGCGATTCCCACCTGCCACTATTAAACGCCATGTTACAGCACGGTACACCCTCTATCGTCTGTCCACAGATTCTTGTTAAAAAATAACACTAAAAAGGAATAATTATTAGAAATTTTATTTCTCTGAATTTCTTTTTTATTCAATTTGGAAAACAGTATACCTCTTCCATTGTGCTTGGCAACTTGACATCATACCTAAAGGAATCATTTAAAGATCCTAGGGATCAAATATATACATAAGCTTCTAAAAATTCTTGGTATTGTTTAATTCATTTATAATTTCAGTTCTACAGTTCTCAGTCACAGCAAATATAAAGAATTTAAAACAACACTCCTCAACATAGCATTATTATGTTTTTAAAAAGTGAATTGCTGAGGCACAAGAACATTACGTGATTTGCCCAAGGTCAGGAAAAGAATGAAGGGCAGATAAAGGAGTATTTCTTCTCCAATTTAAAGTGTCTGTACTGAATTCCACCATCTTGCAAAATTAGCCCAATGCAACAGATACAGAAATTAGACGCGTTATTTGGGAATGTGTGTTTAGCCTAAATTGCTGTTATTAATAAACCTAGTTTTTAAAATCTATACATTTATCATACATTGTCAGGAATTTATAAAAAGAAACATCATTCTCTGAATTATCAGGCAGGTAATGAGTTACTGCTTAATTTTGACACAATTGATTGCAACAGCAAAATCGATACAATTTTAAACAAACAAGTTCAGCAAAAGATGCTTATTAACATTTTTTTAAAAAAATACTAATTATAGAACCTACAAAATTTAGAAGACAGTACTAGAGACACAAACATACTAATATAAATGTATTAAATCGTCTTCGAGTTGATCTTTTGTTTTTTATGAAAACGTTCTAACAAAGCACTCATAATGTTTCCTGGTATTCTTTGGTGCTTATCAATCAAAGCTTGAACAGCATTCTTTGTCTATTAAGAAAACAAAAGAAAAGCCATTATTCTTTTAGTTCTCAAAATAGATCATTCATTTTGTAAAGATTTTAATATACTACTACTTGCAAAAAGCCCTCCCTAATTGAGCATCCCTCTCTCCCCAAAATTAATGCTTTCCTTCTCAGCACACCCGTCGTGTGGTTCTCACACTTGCCAGGCTGGAAGCACAGTTAATGTTACACGGCTATTTTCTATACCACACTGTAAGCTCCTTAAGACACAGCTTCGTCTTTCTCCAACACTGAGCACAGCAATGTTTTGCATACAATAAACACTAAGAGAAACGACAAAAGTCGTAGGACATTTTTCTAGTGGGCAGATGGGGAAGGAAGTTTTACTCCTTCCTATCCATGAATAAATTTGTGTGCACGTTTCTTTCATCACATACAATTACATCAGGCAACGCAAGAGGAAAAAGTGAGAACTATGAATGAGCTGATACACTTTTAGTTCACTGCCTCAATTTCTAGACAGTTTGAGGACTTTAAGTCACAGCAATGGAAAAGCCAATTAGGATATAACAAGGTGTCTCCTAAAACGATTTGCTTCCCATTAAATTCATGACAAATTTCAATAATCTTTTCTTTTATATCACTTTGTGGCTATCTAAAAAAAATCTGTGTGCACATCATGCATGCATGTACACACGTACATTATTTTAGATGGCAACCTTTTAATAAGCCTTCTTTTTATAAATCTTGGACCTTCATCCCTTTTATTTTTGTAAAAAAGGTTTTCTTTTTAATTCCAGTTAACATACAGTGGAATATTAGTTTCAGGTGTACAATATAGTGATTCACCACTTCCATACATTACACGCTGCTGTTCATCATCACAAGCGCCCTCCTTAATCCCCATCACCAGTTTCACCTGTTCCCCCCCAACCCAGCTCCCTTTTGGTAACCATCAGTTTGTTCTCTAGAGTTAAGAGTCTGAGCTTCAGCTCCTTTAAATATAATTAAGAAGCTCTAGCCCAAAGATGTATTTAAAATTTTTTTTTTAATGTCTATTTATTTTTGAGAGTGAGAAAGACAGAGCATGAGCAGCATGAGCATGAGGGGCAGAGAGAGAGGGAGACACAGAATCCGAAGCAGGCTCCAGGCTCTGAGCCATCAGCCCAGAGCCCGACGCGGGGCTCGAACCCACAAACCGTGAGATCATGACCTGAGCCGAAGTTGGACGCTTAACTGACATAGCCACCCAGGCGTCCCCCCAAAGATGTATTTTAAAAATATGCTTCTGGGGGCGCCTGGGTGGCGCAGTCGGTTAAGCGTCCGACTTCAGCCAGGTCACGATCTCGCGGTCCGTGAGTTCGAGCCCCGCGTCGGGCTCTGGGCTGATGGCTCGGAGCCTGGAGCCTGTTTCCGATTCTGTGTCTCCCTCTCTCTCTGCCCCTCCCCCGTTCATGCTCTGTCTCTCTCTGTCCCAAAAATAAATAAAACGTTGAAAAAAAAAATTTTAAAAAATATGCTTCTGAACCACAAGTTTGCATATCTGTAAAAGGAGAACTGTTTCATACACTTATTATAAGGGTTAAATGAAATTTCAACCATGTCTTCAGGTACTTGGCAGTGACTAAAAGTAACTAATAAAGGTTGTCTCTTGTGAAGTATGTTCTTTAAAATTTATTCATTTATTTAGAAAACAGTAGATGCTTTGGAAGCTATCACATTAGTGAAACAAGTCTCTAACCTCAAGCTTGTAACTTAGTAAGTGGGTCAAGTACAAAGTAATAAAAACCTTAGATCATTTGGGGGTGCCTGGGTGGCTCAGTCAGTTAAGTGTCCGACTTCGGCTCAGGTCATGAGCTCACAGTTGGTGGGTTCAAGCCCCTCCTCGGGTTCTGTGCTGACAGCTCAGAGCCTGGAGCCTGCTTCGAATTCTGTGTCTCCCTCTCTGTCTGACCTGCCCCACTCACACTCTCTGTTTCTCAAAAATAAAACATTTAAAAAAAAAAAAAAAGATTAAAAAAAAAAAACAACAACAAAGATCATTTGTAAGCTGTATCTACCACCTGAGATGTGAAAAGAAAGTATCTAGAAGTTCAGACGACAGCCCGTTTATTTGCTGGGCAGTGACAGGGAAGGACACACGAACAAGGTACTGTTTGGCCTGGGTCTCCAAGGACCAGTGAGATTTCAGTGACAGTGGAGACAAGAGCAGGAAGCAACAGACCACAGGAAAACAACCGGCTAAGGACAGGTGGGTTAGGGAGCTTGGCTGGACTTCCAGGTATGTGTTCTGAAGCCGGGTGGTAGAAGGCTCTAAAATTGTAATTCAATTAAATCATGAGGCTGTCAAACACCAAGTGAGAAAGTAGAGACTTTGTTTAATATGAACTGAAGCGTCAAGGAAGGGTTTGGGGTGGAGAAATATCGGGCCAATGCATTAAGAAAATACAACTCTTGCAAAATCACCAATGATACTCTTCTGTCACCAAACCCGATGACATTTTTTTTTTAAGTTTATTTATTTATTTCGAGAGAGTGTGAGTGTGCGTGCCAGTGGGGGGAAGGGGCAGAGAGAGAGCGGGAGAGCGCGAGAATCCCAAGCAGGCTCTGCACTGTCAGTGCGGAGCCCGACTCAGGTGAGATCACGGCCGGCCGGAGCCAAAAAAGAGTCGGATGCTTAACTGACTGAGCCACCACGGTGCTCCAGTCAGCGACATTCTTTTAATCTCACTTGACCTCTCAATCTCCCCTGATCTTGCTTCTGGAATTCTCATAGTGGAGGAAAACCTAGGTTTTCTTCTAACTTTCAGGCTGCTCCTTTTCAATCTTCCTTGCAGATTTATAGTCCCCAAATCTGCCACTGACTTATTCTTCAAAGGTTCAGTAATCTTTCCCCTTTCCACAACTTTAATTACCTTTCATTTGCTGATGACTCCCAAACATTTACCTCCAGCCCGCTCAGCTTCAGACAGGAATGGTCTTGAGTGTTTGAAAGGCACCTCATACTTTGTCCTTCCCTTAGTTCCTTCCCTGTTTCAGCAAACGACACTACCATAAACCTAGCCAAGTAAGCCCAAACCTAGAAGCCATCCTTCACAACTCTTGCTTCTCACTCCCAATAGCCAATCCATCCATTTATTTTTACCTCCCAAATACCACTCACATTATCCACTTCCCTCCGTCTTCTTTAAACCTTTATGACACATGTATACGATATATGCGTGTAGATATAAATAAACCCATATTTATTTCTATGTGTGGATGTGCGCAAGAGACTAGAGAGAGAGAGTTAAAGAGACAGACAGAAACAGACACTGTAAACACAGAAACAGAACAATAGAGAGATTAAGACTGAGAGAACTTTCGGGAAATATCCCAAGTGCCCTCTTCAGCATTAGCATAGTATATTTTAATTTAGATTTAGACAGTGCTTACAAAATGGTTCTCCGCAATCAAATGCCGGAACAATCTATCACCCATTTTTTAAATGAGGTTTCATTTCTACATTAATTTGGATGCTAGTAACTTTGAATTTGTGATGATTCAGGGATGATTACCCTATAGTTTATGCTTATATTATTAACAATGAAAACTGGAAAATCATGACAATGTATTACAAAAGGAAAATTTTAAGTGTTCTTTATTTCCAGTATACTTTAGTTCAATGACAACTTACAATCCAAAATATGAATACAGCAACTATGTACTTAAGTAAATTCCCCCAAGAAATTCTACGATGCCTTGGTAGACTACTTGTTACTTTAGGCACTGAAAATAAAGTGCATAAAGTAACTGGAGATGATAACTGAGGTATTTCGATGATTCAGAAAGGCCTTTTCTTCCTTACTTAAACTGGTATGTTTTTACTATATTTATCTGTTTTACTATATAAAATACCTAACCCTACCAGTGACACGAATGTGAGTAAATCCTGCTCTCATATGAAAAATCAAGGCACTGGAGTTTAACTATCAGAATATACTTTCCTTAACTGAGGAAAATAAGGGAACAGGGTTCACTTAATTTGAGACCTAAAAGAAATGCCGAACAGCATTTAGTTCAATTTCTCTGCTCTACAAATAAGGAAATCGGGGTCTGGGGAAGAACGTATTTCTCTACAGTGATGCTGCTGCCTAGTGGTAGGATTGGTGATGAGTAATACGGGTGACGATCATAACCCAGGTCCCTAATCTTCCACGCCAGGCTTTTCCTGCTCTTTTTCTGTTACCTTCTATTTTGTGCATAAAAATACATGGTATTTGTAAAAGGGGCTCCTAACTGGCTCTGAGCCACTTAAATCTGAATACATAGGGAGGAAAAAGTTGTAAAAGAACAAAACAGAATTCACATATCCTACAGGAGAACACATAGGTCGGGGGCACCACAGAAATGTGTTAACGATAAAGTGCACATGGGCAGAAGCAATGTCACTGGGTAAGGCCTCACCCTGGCGTCAGGCTCCCAGAGCCTCATCAGTAAGGCATCGCCGCGGGATGAGACAAGAGTCATGTCGCACGGACAGCATGTGCTGACTCTAAAAGCCAGTGTCACGGAGCTTTGTCTTCAGGATGAAGGAGGGTAGTAAGTGCTGAGTATATTTAATGAGCCCGCAGCGTAACTGAAGGTAAGTTTTCTGTGTTTTAATTTTTTTTTAACGTTTATTTATTTTTGAGAGAAAGGGGAGGGGCAGAGAGAGAAGGAGACGCAGCATCCGAAGCAGGCTCCAGGCTCCGAGCTGTCAGCACAGAGCCCGACGTGGGGCTCGAACCCACGAACTGTGAGATCACGACCTGAGCTGAAGTCGGACGCTTAACCGACGGAGCCACCCAGGCGCCCCAGAGGTAAGTTTTCTAAGAATGAAGTTCAGAGACACGTAAGCAAAGACAAGGCCGCATAATGTTTCTTTACTGTTAACCTTTGTGAAACTTCCTACATGTCAGCTGCTTGATTTGAACGGTCTCATCTAATGTAACATTATCGTTGTTTCAACTGTACATTCTTTTCTAAGTGGTCTGGTCTGGCTGA